GTTGGTTGATGTAGTTCGAAAATGGTAATCGGGTAAAGCTAAAAATGATCCATTCAAGCATGCTTCTGTTGCAAACATACGAGATAGTTTTCTAGAATGTAAGAATATGTTCTAATCTGTTAGTTAAACAGAAAAAGATCACGTACTGTTTCGCACTACTCATTACATCAGATGAAGCAGATGCATGCTGAAGTGATTTAGCGAAATCTAGGGTTAGTTCAAGTATAGGACGTTTCCGACAGAAAATTCGATAATCATCAGGTTCTTGTGACTGAAAAGAGGAAAGTTCTTCGTTGTAGATATTTGGAAAATGAACGTACTATATGAGATACACGAATGAATGTTTGTAAACCACCCGCGTAAATACCGATAACATAAATATTGCTGGCGTCCGTAAATCCATTACTTGATTTCGGTCGACTAGATTGGGATAAGTGACCATTACTACCTGAACCTTGTCTTTCATACTAAAATCATTAAGAATCATTCATAAAAATGAGAAAATATTCTTTTGAATTGAACAAACTTGATTAGTAGTCTTTGGGAGTAAAAGATTACGTGGTAATTTCTGTGGAACTGTCGTGTATGTCGTTAATTGCGTACCTGCACGACCAGCGCAGGCTAAACCACAAAGATAAACTTGACCAGTTTTAGGAAGATATATCGCTGTATGAGATCTGAAGTTTCCATTGAAGAAAAAACATTCGATTGAACTGTAAGAAAGATAATCTTACCTTCCACAAGCTATTTGCGAGACTTCCGAACCCATCAATTCGGAAATTTTTCGAGGTAGAAGCTCATCGTTCATCGAATTATGTCCAAGTTGTCCATGTATACCGGATCCAAATGAAAAGACTCCACCATCCATTGTCACAACTACGGAATGGTTTTCACCGCATGCAGCATACGTTACTCGTTGTAACTGTAAAGCTTTCACATTACTTGGCCATTCACGTGTATCTGTATCACCTAGACCTAACTGACCCGATCTAAATATACATACACGTCTTTGTCTTCCTTATCAATGAGAATATCAACATTGACACTCACGCATTCAAACCACAGGTAAACACTGTTCTAAAAACAATATAAACTATATTTCAAAGGAAATATTTCCCAGATAAACACTTGACTTACCCGCTCTTTGATATAATCAATGAATGATAAGCACCGCAAGCGATATGTACAATGGGACTACCACGTAGACATGTAAGTGGAATCGCACTTCGACAGTCTTTTGTATGTCCTAATCCAAGTTGTCCGTGAGAATTGATTCCAATTCCATAGACTGTTCCATCCTGAAGTGGAAAATCATATCGAAAACTTTCCTAACAAAACCTATAACTATGGACTTACATCAGTCAAACCAAGAGAATGACAATATCCAGTGGCTATTTGTATCACTCGTTTATCAGAAAATCCGTCTAGATATCTATTAGATCAAACAAGATAATATTTTCGCAAAATAACAATTCAACAAACTTACTGAGGTTTACTGAAATAAAGTTCATCATCCTTCTTCACTCTTCCACTAACTGAACCCCAGATAACAATCTTTCCATTTGTTGTCAAACACATCGAAAAACGTTCTCCACAAGCAACTTGCACGCCATCCTCATTTTTTGGTAAATATACTCTTTCTACAGTGACATATCAATCAAAACAACTGATGTACTACATGTTTTTTGCTTCGTATTTACCTGGTACTGTTCCTTTTCCCTCTCTGCCTAACTGTGAATATTCGTTATTTCCTGCCGAAAAAACACTTCCATCACTGAGGAGAAATAACGAATGTGTTAATGAACACGCCACTTGTATACATGTACAATCATTGAAAAATGTTATTCGTTCTGGCGTTGCAATGAACGTTGACAGAAATGATGGACCTAAGCCAAGCTGACCATGAGAATTGACACCCCAACCAAACATTTTCTTGATAATTCAATTGGAAAATAATCAAATAATGAAAGACCAAAACGAGGAAGTAATGATGAATTATTCTTATCAAAAGAAAAAGGTTCTATAAGAAACGAGAAAAACAGAAGATTTCGATGATGTTTTGAATAAGTAGAAAAATACACGAAATGTCACCGTGTTGTCGGAAGAGTAAAATTGTGTGTAATTTCTTTCTTTCCAATCGAACTAACGACATTTTTCTTTTTCTTTTCTCGCAGTTTACAGGTGTAAACCAGTCAAGTTTTTCAGTCGATCTTACGCACAGATGTCGTAACAATATTGTATTTGCTTCCTTTTTACAACTAATCTCGAATACATCTGAATGTATGATCACATACTTAACTGTCTATGTTTTAAATTCTTATCATACATACAAAATGTTTCGTTTGATTTAACTGTTCGGAGAAGGCGAGTGTTCAAAAATTCCGTTCGAATGTGTAGACAATGCAATGCACTCAATTGAACTTTGTCGAGAGTTTGTTCAATTGACTTCAGACAGATATGTTAGCACTTGATCTAAAAGGGTAAAAATACTTCTTCGATCTATGTGTACTATTGAAGGACTAATTCATGCTCTAGTTTTTTTTATAAAATATTTATTTTATTCAAACAACCAATATGAGTGATAGACATGTTTTTCAAAAGTAGATTTGACAACTTCAACACTTTCTTCAAACAAAATTAATCAGTTCAAAACGTTTTAAATAACATCAATATGAACACATTCAATTCCTGTGATGTATTAATATTTATCATTAATAACCAATCAAAGATAAGTTACATGTTCATTGATGGGTATTAAGAAAAATATTCTGATCAATTAGCGTTTAATTCTCAATATAATCGTTATTTTGATAGTACTTCATATATCTCAACTATTTCATTGAACAAATATGACATGTGCTATTGGTATTCTAATCAGAAAATAATAAATGATTTGATTTCATCAATCTTATTGAGCGAAAAAAGAGATTTTCATCTAAAACTAAAACATAAATCACTCGTTTAGTCAAAAAATACCAAATGAAAATCTCAACAACTGATGAAAATAAAAGTTCGTTCATATGTCGATTAGCTGTAAAAGAAAAATGAATCGATTATTGATTTGGTTTTCCATCCGGTGTCATTTGAAGAACAATACGAATGCTAAAACAAACAAAAATAGTTGTCGTTCTTTCAACAAACATCTCCTTTTCATTCAATTACCATTTTCCAGCATGTAACAAATCGAAAGCATCATTGATTTGTTCAAATGGCATCTTATGTGAAACAAATGAATCAAGTTTCAATGTTCCATCCATAGTATCCTTAACTAATTTCGGAACGCTATCACGGCTCTTCCAACCTAAATGATTTTACTTGAAGAAGAACCTCAAATGACTCGTTTCTTACCACCAAAAGCAGTTCCCTTCCATGTTCGACCAGTAACTAATTGAAACGGACGAGTTTTGATTTCTTGGCCGCTTGCAGCAACACCGACGATCACACTAACACCCCAACCTAAATCAAATCGATGTTGTACTGGATAGTCGACATGTAGAGCAAACCTTTGTGAGCACACTCAAGAGCAGCACGCTGAAATAGAACGAAAGAAGCATTGTAACATTGATATTATTGAATTTGTTTACCATAATTTCGACATTGCCAACGCATTCAAACGTGTAATCAAAGCCTCCATCGAATTTTTCTACAAGATATTGTTGTAACTAAAGAAGTTCAAAAACAATTAGTTTGCGTTTTCGTTTTTCGCTTACTGGATCTTTGATTTCTTTTGGATTGACTACATCGGTCGCACCGAAAAGACGAGCTACAAAAAGTTCATGTTAATAAACATATCCATTCTTCACCATCCTCGTACCTAATTCAAATTTTTCTGGATTGGTGTCAACGGCAACGATTTGTGAAGCACCAACTTGTTTCGCACCCTATATCGAGCATTCGTGAGAGAACAGACATTGTTTTCAACACAATCTTTACCATAATCACAGCTAAACCAACAGCGCCCAAGCCAAAAACAGCTACGCGTGATCCTTTTTCGACTTTTGCTGTATTCAGAACTGCGCCTAATGAACAAACATGTTTAGTTTTCTCAATATCCGCCGCTCCTCCATCGATCTACCATAACCAGTCGAAACTCCACATCCAAGTAAGCAAACTTTATCCAATGGTGCATCTTTATTAATCTTGCACATAGAAATTTCCAAGACCTATAGTAGAAATTTCATCCTAGTTAATCAACCACATTCGTGTTCATTCTTCGTACCACTGAATATTCGCTGAATGATGAACAACCCATGAAGTGGAACACATCTTTGCCTTGACACCGATATCGAACAGTTTTATCCGGCATTAAACCTTGTCCTTGTGTTGCACTAAAGAACATTTTTCTGCATTGAAACCGCAGGTTTGCACCAAGTCAACATACCGAACAGCTTGACATAGATTGGTTTTTTGGTTTAAACAGTATTCACATTTGTAACATTGAGGAATGTAAAGTGGGATAACATAGTCACCTAAATTCCAATAGTTTCAGTATAAGAGTGAGAAAGCGAAGAGGGAAGTTTGCCTGGTTTCACTGATGTAACACCTTCACCGATAGATTCAACAATACCGGCAGCTTCATGTCCCTGAAAATCAGAAATTCTACTTTTCCGTCAAACGAAGAATAGTGTATTTCTTACAAGAATCACTGGAAAAACACCTTCGGGATCGAGACCATCCAATGTATAAGCATCGGTATGGCATAAAGCGGCGAATAAATTCTAGAGAAACACGAGTTCCAAAGTGTTTGGATATTTTCAACTCTTACTTTAATTCGAACTTCGCCTTTACCGGGTGGTAGAACTTCCACTTCTTCGATTTTCAACGGACTTTTTGCTTTCCATGCAACTGCTGCTTTACATTTAATAATTTGCTACAAAAGATTCGAAAACGAATATTTAAAACAAACCGAAACGAAAGCTTAACCGACTCCTTCTGTTGAATTTGCGTCCGAACTCATTCTACTGGTAAAAAAAATCTAGAATCAAATGTAAACCCCGTACCCTGTTATGTGGTGTTATCGTTTCGCTCTATCTACCTATCTATACTGCTGAAATAAGGCAGAATTTTCGTATATTGGACTTGTCCAATCTTTATCAGACATATAGATGTCGCTTCATTGACTTTTTCTCATAAAACTCGCATAAAACTAATCTCAAAATCCATTTACTGAACAATTTTGTATCTCTCTTGTCCACCATCATTTATCTTTTCGGAGTATACAAAATGAGTCATCTTGACTATCAACGTCGTTGAATATTCTTCATTCATTCATCGATCAACTTATCAAGAGATAATCGAAAACAGTTAATCTCTCTGGTTTTTCTCATGTCGTCTCGTGTAGAAACTTATCTTAACGAACGGAAGGCCAACGGTGGGCCATTAGCTAACGAATGGCTTGAGCTTGAGTCGTTATATCAAAGTCGTTTGTGGCATGAACTAACATTACGTGTAACATCATTCGTACATCGCGATGAACTTCAACAAGGCGATCAATTGATACGATTTTACGAAGACTTCCTTTCGGATTTCGAACATCGAATCAATCAATTAGCGCTAGTCGAAATTATCATACCGATTACACGAGCATTCAAACAAGTTGATCAAGCTATACAGTTTGTTCAACAAATTCGAGAGAAAGTCAAAGCGAATCCATTAGCTGTTCTTTTATGTGATATCACTATTGGAAAAGCGTATTTGATAACCAAGAACCTTCCAGAAGCCAAAAAGATTATCGAAGATTTAGCACCGAAATTTGATGAATTAGATCATTTAACTACCGTGCATTCGAGATATTATGATTTAGCATCGAATTACTATAGAGTTATGGGAAATCATAGTGAATATTATCAAAATGCACTGAAATATCTTGGTAAAATTCTTTCTTTGTGAAAGTCACTTTCTATTTTCATCGTTCTTCCAGGTTGTATCGACAATTCCTCGATTCCAGTTAAAGAAAAAGCCGAACGAGCATTCAATCTCGGTTTAGCTGCACTCTTAGCTGAAAATGTTTATAATTTCGGTGAAATTCTTCAACATCCCGTTCTCAATGCTTTAAAAGACACACGTGAACAATGGTTAATGGATCTTTTACAAGCATTTAATGTCGGCGATGTCGAAAAATACGAAGCATTAGGATCCGTTTGGCAAGTTCAACCTGATCTTCGCATGGCTGAAGCAACACTCAAACGAAAAATCAATTTACTTTGTCTAATGGATATGATTTTCACTGCTGCTGGCGCTCGTGCTTTAAGTTTCTCGGATGTCGCTACCAGAACGAAATTATCTCCAAATCAAGTGGAATTATTAGCTATGCAAGCATTGTCGTTAGGTTTGATTCGTGGAAGTATCGACCAAGTCGATGAAAAATTGAATATGCACTGGGTAAAACCTCGAGTGTTAGATCTTCGACAGGTTGCCACATTAAAGAAACGTCTAGATCAATGGACAAACGACGTGAAACAAATGTCCACATTAGTAGAACAACAAGCCGGTGATATTCTTTCTTAGAAAGACGTTCTTAACATTCTTCCTTCGACATACGAATGAACTTTTTAACATAGAACACACCAACAATAAAATCTGTTATGTTTCTTTCCTTCTTATTCAACATTTTTGTTTTTTTTTCAATATTCTATAAAACAAGCATGGAAGAAATTATCGATAATTTTCTCTCACATCATCCAATACGCCAATGACACTCAATTATCCTAATGATCAACATATATCAATCGATGTTATTCTCCAGTCAATCATCAACCAAGAAAATCTATTAGTTTTATGTTCAACAGGTTTTCTCTTCAATGATGATAATCTTCCACGTGTTTATCATTTTTCGTCGCGACTATCAACGAGATTTTCCTCAGGTTTCCCTTGATATTTGATTTGTTTAGTAACACACATGTTTAGCATTACTGATCGCAAACTTGTCTATCATAGTTTTCTCACCCTTGAAATGCTTCGTTAGCTGATGTGTGTCTTTTTTTCTCGGAGAGATTTTCCAATACATCCTCACGGATTCTTTTGTCATGACAATGTGTAAAACAAGTCTATTCTTCGATTTGCTTTCGTTCGTGACTTGTAGAACGAGTTTTTCATTATTAATTTATTTTACTCTTTTTTTTTCACTTAGCAGATTTTCTTCTCGACAACTTGTTGACATATTTTATAATCGACTATGTCGATTTAGTCCTGTCAAGTCAGCTTTTCCCGACATTATCTTCAATTCTTTTCTTTCCAAACGATTCCTATTTCAACAGCAAGTTTATTTCCTTCGAATAATCACCATAAACTCTCCGAAAGTAAAACAACTGCTACAGAATCTCATTTTCGTGTGAAATCAACATTTCAGTACTCAGTGATGAGATTAAACATAAGGAAAAACAGACTAGTAACTTCGCTACTGGCAGACTAATGTACATAAGATATAATATGGGTACAAGGACGGATCAAAATAGTTTCCAGATCTGAATACTGATGTCGTCAAGTATAAATATATTTTACACTGCATCGCGTAAATAAATGTCGATAAGGTCAAAAAACATCAAACAAATCCGACGGAAAGCAGTCTTCGCCATTTGTAATTAGCATAGTTTGATCTTCTTTCCACGTGAAAGGAGAATTTTAGTTTGGATCAGCTGCTCCTTCGCTGCTCTTTTGTTCTGTCGATATGAATTTCTCGATGAGAAAAAATAGACAAGAACAAAAAGTGCCTCATTTTTTATGCTTCACTCATTATTTATACAATTGCCTTTTGCCTTCAGTCTAACCGTCATCAAAATAGAATCAATCCATTGATTACATTATCTCTTTGTATGATTCACAATCATCAAGTGTAAATAATTAACGCTTGAGAAAGATTATCTTAGCATAATAATTCTCATTTGGACATCAAGTGAGAATTGCATGAACAGTCAAGTTTTCCATTAGTTTATTGACATTGATTCAAAAATAAATCCATTTTTACTTTAGTTTTTCTAATCGGATTTTGTCCCTAATGATTTTTGTTCTAAATATGGAGAATTTCATCGGATGAATCGACGTCGAACATGAATAGATCACACGATATAGGAGAGATTTTCCAGAAGAAAGAAAAAACGAAGGTAAGTTGGTTCATTGATTAATGGAAGGCATTTGGTGTTTTTTTTTCTCGATTAATAGAATTTTGTTTGCTTCTCACTGGATAAATATAGAATATACGGGCATTATTGAACTCTGGAGAATAGTTATATAGTAACAGTGAATTAGATTTGTATTTTTCCCATAAGAAAACAATATCCTGATATTTCCCAAAAGAAACCTTCTGTAGATGGTGTAACACAGACGGTTCTAGTCGTCTAATTTCTTACCAACGGAGCATTTTCTGATCTTTGATGCAATGTGGCTCAGCAAACAAACGTATCTATATTCGTTTCATGGTCGAAAGATTCAAGTAGGTTCGATATAATCAAGCATATTCTTTTATTTACACATCTACACATGAAATATGTGGCAATCATCAATAATTGACAACACAAAACAAAAGACATCGAAACTTCACTAGAAGATGATATATTATTAACACAGACGATATATTTTCTTTGACGTACTCTAGTCCCAAATTCTCTATTCTAATTACTTTTGTCGACGAATATGTGAAAGCTAACGTTCCGCTCTATACTAATATCAAATAACCAGAAAAGCTGTCTTTCATAATGATGTAAATAAGACATTTTTTTTTCGCCTTCTTGTAGAAATGTTCTTTCTATAAAGTAGTATATTTCCGACCATTCCATTTCGCTTGTTTATTATTCTATATGTTATATGATACTTTCCGACGTTTTTTCTTCTTAGTTTCATTGACCTTTTAAGCTTTGTTTTAGACTGTCGGTTTGTTATAATATAGACTAATGAAAAAGTTCTCATGCAAATTCAACGCATTGATATGATGAGATAAGTGAGGATTTAGGAAATAAACTTATTCAATGTACCTAATTACCCACTCGTGGTTTAGACCAAAGGCAAATCTGTTCGATTTGATGAGTAATAAAGTAGAAAAATCGTCCAAACTGACTACTTAATTAGGAATTAATTCTCATTTGAGATCATGTAGTACTTAAGATTGAATAATTATGTAAATATATTTTCTCGAATGTTCTCTCATACGATCATTTATCATAGACAAAAGCAACAAGTCAAGATCATGTTGAAGATCCGAATGATTGTGTATGCATGATTGTTATTGAGATAAAAATATAAAAAAACAGTTTTTGAGAAGAAGACGTGTGCAAAAACAAGAAAAATCATCTGATAATGATAAAACAAACTTTTTTTCTCAGCTTCGCCTCAATCGACGCTGAGAATTCCGTTGTATTTGATTTCTGACCAAGATCTTTTGTTACTGTTTCTTTTTCAACTAAACAATGTCGTCTTTTATGATAGTTACTTCGGATATGACAAAGGACATTCAATTATGTTTAGCTTACCTCAAAATAATGAATCAAATTAGGAGACTACATCGAAGAAGAGAGAGAGAGAGAGAGAAAGAAAATTGCATACACTTGTCGAAACAATTATATGCTTGGAAAGTTGATGAGACTTTTGTTATTCAGATTGAAGAAAAACTCGGCGAATGAGCAAAGCAAAGTTATTCAAAGGAGAATTAATTATAAATAGAGTGAAACCTTTCTTCAATTGCCTTTTACTTCTCGAGTTTGAATAGACTTTCACTGAGAAACTACCTACGCGCGATGTTTAATTGGTTTTTCTGGACGTTATTCATCAGTGTCGAGTTTCTTGTCGATAAGAGAAGAAGAAAAAAAGCAAATTCTTTCGATAATTCAGTTTCATATATATATATATCTTCGTTTTCTAATGATACTTTATACATCAATGTAAGAGCATTTAACATAATATAATTTTCTCGAAATGACAATGCAAAATGAAGGGATATATACAAAAATATCTCGTGAGGATCGGTTTGTCTTCTTTGCTCGTGTTTTTCCTCCTCCTCCTCCTCCTTCTTCTTTCTTCGTAATCCAATCGTTGAAGGAAAGAAAATGACTATGATCAAATGGAATACGGAATACTTTCTCTTGTTACATTCATCATGAAATCGTTTTAAAAGGAAAGAAAATAGGAAACTTCCATCAAGATCTCTTTGAAGCGGGTAATCGATCGCAATCGTGATTCGCATCGGTGTTTGATCTAAGAAAAATAGATCCATAGAGGTAGTGCAGCCATTTGTCATCAATTCGACATGAACGATGTAATCAAGTGAAGAATATGAGTTCAACAGACACGAGATTCTTATGAATGTCGAAGAGCAAACTAAGAAAATATCGCGAGAGAAAAAAAAGAAGAAGAAGAAGAAAAAGAATTGCTTTAGCAGAACATATTCCATCGATACGAATTAATGTTGATTTGCTTGCCAACTGAAAACATTGACTGTATGTAGAGGAAAACGTCGATATTTTTCTGCTTCTAACTATTAGATTTGTTTAAAATAATACTCGAACGTTGTGAACTATTGTTCAATTGTCAATAGGTTTGATTAGTTTCATACCCGCATCGGAAACTCATTTTTCCCAGCAATAAATAGTTGATGACGCGTTGGAGAATTCGACTTTTTTCACTCTCTTGTTAGAGAGGAAAGTTCAGCTTGATGATTATATGTTTAGTTAAGTTTATATTTGTAGATGTAACACGATTTTCAAATAATAAAATCATCAATAAGAAACTTGCTCAAAGGCATTATCATCAATCATTTTCCCTCATGTTGTCAGACATGGAAATGACAGATGAAACTATGTCGAGAACAATTATAATAATCAATTCGACGTATCAGTTGTTTTGACGAAATGAAATGAAAAGAGAAGTTTCGTTTTTCTTTTCTCGTTCTACACAGAGATATTCATATATGCATAAAAACCGATAATTGTGTTGCGTTATTCAACCGTAGAATAATCATTAAACAATTAGTCAATTTGTCAATATAGAATCTTTTCTCCCTTCCATGAGAAAACGGATTTGTTCGAGAAAATCACTTTAGTTTATTAAACCACAATGTTTATAGACATTCCGCTGCATGAAATAACTAGATCAAAGAGGATAGGAACGAAAGAATAACAGAGATAATGGATAATTATTCTCGGCCTTTTTTTTGAGAAGCTAAAAAAAGTCCGGCTAGATTATCTCTGTCGACTTGTAGTTGTTAGAATGTTTGTCAATCTTTCTCGTCAAAGTTACCAATCATATCAGTACATTTTCATACTGTTGTCACACAGTAGGTCTCCTTTGAATTTCCAGGAGAAAATAGACGAGATACTTTCCATCGAATTCTCGCTTTTTTTCCCCACAAAAAAAAAACATGTCAGTTTCTTTTCTTGTGGAAGTTTTCATTGGAAACATAAAAATAAATTTCAATAGAAACAATGATATTCTAAGCTTCATAAATGAATCTATTCTTTCCCACATGTTTCTTCTTCTTCTTTTTTTCGATACAATAGTACAACAAAAAAGAGATGTTTTCGAACAACGCAATAGAAAATCATTAGCTGAAGTAGTTAAACTAATAAACTTCTTTGCAGTCATCTTCTTCTTCTTTCTAATGAGATATATACGATCGATTACTTGAAATATCAATTCGTTTCAGTTTGATCGTCATCATACTCCTCCTAGGTTTTTTTTTCTCTCGCTGCCTCTATTCTCCTGACTTTCCGCTGTGCGCGTGATGAAATAAGAAAAGAAAAAAGATAGAAATATATATCCTGTTGCTCATTATACAAAAAAAGCAAACGCGATATTTTCAAACACCTGTCTCCCCCATCACTCAGCGTTTTGTCTGTCGTCGATTAGATAAATGTACACATAAGAAGATTTGTCTGTCGTTAATCATTTGTTGTTTTGTAGACATCAGTTCATTTATAGATTAGTCAATTTATTAAATCTATTGTCTTTTAGATAATCAACTAGAAGAACAGAAACATGTTTTTGAGTAAAGAAAGTATCAATCCGCGAATTCTGTGTAATGTACTCGCGCCTATATTTATCTGCGGATTCTTCGGTAATATTATATGTATAATAGTATTTCTTCGTCGTCGCTTTCGTGTACGTTCAATTAGTGTCTATTTCATCGCTTTATTCTTTAATGATTGTTTACTTCTATTCATATCACATGTGGCGAAAATGGTTATATTTGATGCATCGTCATCATGCTGGTTTAATATTTATTTATCGAAATTTATTAATTTTATTCGTTATCGTGAAATGTTCTACCTTAAAGGTCTTGCCGTGTTGACGTATAATACGACTTATACGCAGATTTCCATGCTAATTTTTATGTTCATGTCGATTCAACGTGTTCGAACATTTTCATCGATATCCTATCGTGAAAGTCGAATGTGCGCATTGTTATTGACATTGATTGCATTTATCTATGGGATTAGTGTGTCCTATATTCAATTGTACGATGCATTCTGCATAAAACCATTGCAGTTAACCGAAAGTCAATCTTTAACTATTGATTCCTTACTTAATAAGTCGATATGTATGACACCGAATTCATCGAATCATTCAGGTAAGACAAATAACATGTGAGAATTAGTGTCTTATGCAGAATATATCTTTAGTTAATAATTCAACAATGTATTATCTTTCAACGACAACAATACCTATTCCGACAACGACAAATCCCGTTGATATTTATGATGGAATATTATTAATTCATACAAATGTATCTGTGGAGACAAATCTCAATATGAGATGTTACTCGAGAAAGAAATGGCAACATATCCGGCATCAAACCATTGCCCATGTTTACTTACAACAATATATGTCAATCGATTGGCCAGATGAACATGCCCAACGTTCGACTTGTCCTTTTGAGAACATTCTTCCATCAAATCTTCTCGCTTCGGTTAATAATTTAACATGGCCAGTATTGCAATCTCGGCCAGGCAAAGATTATTTTCACGAACATCAATTCTGTACTCAAACATATCATTTCATAACTTATTACGGTAATTGTACAATACCAATTTCAGCTGAAAATTTTCAACGTTGGTTTAAATTTCTCTACGATCGTCGTTTATCACTGAAAAATCGTTATACAATTGGTTTTATCATTGGAACGTTTATTCCATCGAGTATTTGTATCATATCGTCATTTATCTGTCTTTATTATATATCTAATCGACCGTCGATACGCAAACACAGTCATTCACGTGCCGAGCTTCGTTCTTTATCATTGATTCTAGTAGAAATCCTCCTGAGTTTAATGAGTGCTTTGCAATCTTATATAATCAATTTCTTTACATGTCATCGTCTATTATTTCGAATGGAATCCGATAATTGTTATGGACAATCGGGTGATAACATTCTTCCAAATTTTCTTGGAAGTATTCTGGAGTTATTCACATCTACATCGAACATTCTAATCATCATGATTTGTGGTGCACAGTTTCGCAACGAACTTATTGAAATTCTTCGTCTGGGAAGATTCTGTCCTCGAGATAAACAACAACAGCAGCAGAACACATTAACTCAAAACACAGCGTCTCAAAAACATTCGAAGAAAACGCCGTCGCATCGGTCAACTTTATCCTTGCCACACAATGGATGTAAAAAGTCAACGAATCTTCCACATGACTCATCCATGGACTCAATGTTAGCTTCTGTACAGAATAGAGATGAATTTAGTTTAACTGATCTCGAGTTACAATCCGATGAGACAAGTCAATGTTTAGTCAAAGCGACAACAGTTTAAACACTGGTGATGAGATTTTCTTAGAAAACCGAGGGAAAATAGCTTGTGTTGTTTCGTTTTTTTTTCTATTTGATTGTATTTTTCGATGAAACAAAGATGTGACATATCAGAAAACAAGCACTTGTCTATTCAGTCTGAACAAGAGAAAACATCACAGTTAATAAAACCTAATGAGATTCGAAACGCAGAACATGCAAGACGTAAAACTCCTCTTAAGACAAGGAAATCAATATTGACAATTGTCTAATGAATCTGATTAAAACAAATCCACTTATATAAAGGATATTAAAAGTAGATCAATCTAAGACATAGTATGTATACTTGCAGGTGATGAAGGGCAAAAACATATTTGTTATAGCACAAAGAACTAAAAAAGTTCGTCAGGCGTAGTAATTACTTGTTGTGATTGTTTTCTCGCGAAAAGAGTACTGCTGGAAATAATTGGCAAGATGAGATGTGAAGATCACGATGATGTCTATTCTTAATTTATGCTGATCTTGATTACGACAGTGTCAGGTATGCGATAACTGCTCATTAAACATGAAGGGTTAGACTGAAAATGACAAAATACATACCCAATTGAGTTAATTCGATGATTCCTGTTACAGATCCTCACGCTAGATTAAATGTCTTCCGTAAGAAGGCTTACAGAGATTATAAACGAAAAGATTGACGTAAATACCCTCTGATATAAAGCATACGAGTTGTTTTGCTTTATTTCTGACAACGCAGAGCCACTCATAACACACGTTGAGAGAATGATCCGTTATTTACTAAATAACTCCAGTCAAATGGTGCGGAAAAAGGCGAATCAACTCCAAATTTGCGCATATCGACTATGTCGTTGTTCATTTAGTATTCGACATGCTTCGCATTGTTCGCCATTATCGGGTCCGCAGTATCCATCTGTTGTTGGATTGTTTTTCATAACCATTCGACCACAGTAGAATTTTGTTGGTTCCATTTCACTGCAGCGTGTTGCTGCTCCATCACGGTTAACGAACCAACCATACGGTAATCGTCGTTTCTGAACATCGAGCAACATACATCCTGAACAATTGCAACCATTTGATAACCCACACCGTTTGTTGCAGCACGAGCATTGACCACCGTCTAATTGCCCACCACAATAGAATTTACCGGTACTACCTAAACGTGTGTGAAGACCGAATTTATTCAGAGTTTTGTCAAGTCGATCATCGAACAATCGATTATTAGTTTTATCGTCGGAAGATTGATTAGACTTTTCTGCGATAATGTTCTCTATTTCCCATAATTTGTGATAATTTTTCATTAAAACGTCTTCATGTTCTTTTATTAAATGTACCAGAAATTCTTTCCGAAAACATTTCATGTCTTTACACTTGGGATCCGGACATCCTAGCAAACTGTAAGCACAATGGTTCGAGATGTGGTCAGTTAAGTTCGATCGTGTAACCTTTTCGGTACAACCATCATTAGGACACTGTATAATCATACCGCCGATAATCCGACGGGCAAAATGAGCGGGAACTGTTTGAAAATCAGTTTTTCGACAGACAGGACATGTTCCAACAGTTGTAATACAAGATAAACAAAATAATTGATGGCAACAGGATGTTTCAATGGCATCGTCTGGATTGGGTACATCCAAGCAAATTGCGCATGTCAACGTTAATTCGAGATCATCGGTACTGGCCATACTTGTTTGAAGAAAAGAAAAACAACGCCTTTTGTCGAAAACTTCTTTTTTCACGTGTAAAGGTTTTTAAAAGAGAAAAAGAAAAATAGATTATAAATGCGTTTGTATTTATTGTTTCATTTTCAAAAGAAAATATAAGCAACAGAAAGAACACGTCCACAGATGTGAATCATAATATATAGATGGAGCTATGAAAGAAATGAGTTGTGGAAAAAAACCCGATCTTTATCTTTCGTTCGTTATTGACGCGTTCGAATGATAATTCATTGAAATCGATCGATCGAACTGATGAGTCTGGATAGGATATGAACGCATAACATTTCCATTGATTTTTTTAATCATCAAATTTTCCGATGAACATTTCATGTTCAACAATGATTTGTTTGACTTTAGTTTATTTTGTATTTTTGATATTGAGACAAGATGTCCATTTTCGAAACACAATCCGCAATGTTTCGTATTTATTCCAATTCTCCGCGAAACAATTTCTTATGAAATTCTTTTCTGCTGCATTGTATAATTTGCATTTGTAACACTTCATATATCGATTGTTTCTTTTGTCTTCATTGAATTTCATACTGGTTGCCAATCTACTAGTTCAATAATATTTGTACTTTACATATTGTTCGTGTTTATCTAATCGATACGATGACCTGGTCAATCTTTAATTTACAAGATCATCTTTCTTCGATGAATCGAAGATTTGTTTACAGATCTTATTGACATATCATCTCTTTTTCACTTCATTTAGCAAACAGTATTATCCATTACTTAATCAACACCGAGTTTCATGTTTTCTTGATGACAAAGTGAAAAATCACAATTTTCAATATCTGTTCGCTCTTATTTATTCAACAATTCAATCGATCTAATTAAAACAGAGTTCTTCTTCTTTTTCGTTTCAATGAGTCTAATCATATCTCGATAGGCTATTTTCAATCAAAATTCAACAGCATATCTACATGAAGTATTTGATTGAGTAAAGATTCTTTTGCCATTCGTTGATAAAGACAAGAGTATGTATATTTCATCTTTCTATCTTCACGTCGAGTAGGCCAATCCACATACTCAACATCGTATTATCTTTTTTTTCTTTTTCTCTGCAAGACAGAAGAACGAAAACGATTATTAATGCTATTCATCGGCCAATTTTTCACTTCTCTCTCTCTCTTTTTCTCATTATTTCGATTTGAATGTATGTGCCTGAAAGCATCTCTCATGCGTTATTCACCTGCATTTCGAGTTGTTATACATTCTTGAAAGAAACAGAGCGCGCAAAAGCAATCAAGCGAATTCATATTCCATTTCTATTCATATGAGCTTCTTATTGTCACAACACTTGGCGCGACTCTTTGTCTATTGTTGTCTTTTGCCTTTTTCGTATGATGTGATGCCGATATCAGTCTCTGAGAAGTAATCATAATANCATATTTACGATATCTATCTACAGATTCGACCTCTTCTGACTGAGGTGACAAGCTCACAGCATGGATAATCATCGTCTAGAAAGAGAGGAGAGAAATGAGACAAGATGGCCTGTGGCGATGTACAATTCTTTGATTGAGAGAATAAGAGTCAGAAACGAAAGAAAAACAGCAGTGGAAGTGAAGAGATTCGTTCGGGTGGAATCAGAACGAACGAACGAACAAAATCTATTGGCATCTCTCATTTCTCCCTTCTTCAGGTGAGAGCGAGAAAGAGAGAATGAGCGAAGCAGAGAAAAGATAAAAAAAATTCATTCGATGACAGTCTCATGTCACTCACCATCTTTCATTTGAATAAGGAAAACGCGAGTAAGTTGTTGATTTTCATTTTTTGACAGACAGTTCTCATTTCTTGCTTTCTCAATAAGATGCACATTTCTGTAGGTAGCAGCCGGAGCACCAAATGTATGAGACACTCGGTCGGCTCATTATCATTCATATTTTTCTTGTTGTTAAGAAAACGATCGAGAGATTTTTATTTGATTTCTTTCAATCAGAGAGGGACATATCATTGAAGTGCTCATTGATGGATAATGAGTTCGTTTTATCGATGTGTGAAATTTGATTTTTTTTTAGAATCTTCAAGTGAACGAATGATTATGAAATGTACAAATGTTATTCAACAAGACAATAAAGATTCTGATGACGATAATCAAGACAGTAAGGAGAAAATCGTTTTTTTTTGTCATAAACACGTGTCTGAACAACTTGCCATGTTCATTTTAGCGACTGAAATGTTGATCAAGAATGAACCAAATGATCATCAGCATAGGTAAAATAAACAAAATCATCTTCGCCGTAGGATACAAATTGTTTTCTCTCACTCTCTATCTCTTCCTAATTAGTAAAGTACATTGTGCAAGGAGATAAAAACAAATGAATATATAAGGAGCGAGATTTTAGTATATTGAAAGTGTGTATGTGTATGCTTCTTTTTTCTTTCACGAGCGATTCATATTTAATCAGTAAAAATTTAATTTGGAGAATGAATGTCATTTGACAATTTCCGAGTGAAGTAGAAAGCGAAGTAAAATGAGAATTCTTCTTCAACAGTAGATCTGTATCTTTTTTTAAATTTTAGCATGTACGATCGTTCTGATAGGATTAGTAGTGGTCCAGTATCAACCAATGCTTCGAATTCGAGTGAAACGAGTGAATGTGAAAATCGACTTTATACATGTGATGATTGTGGGAAAAGTTTCCAAACATCATCAGGCTTGAAACAACACAGAAATATCCATTCGAGTGTCAAACCATGGAAATGTGAAGTAAGACATCTTCGTCGAGAAAATCTTTGCACATTCATTTGAAACTTTTAGTTTTGTACAAAATCGTATACACAATTTTCGAATCTGTGTCGTCATAAACGCTCTCATAGCAATGCTCGAACACAAGTAGAATGCAAAGGCTGTGGTCAATCATTTCAAAATCATGTTGCATTAAATAAACATAGGTAAATTAGTGAAGAGAGAACTCTAATAAAGATAAAATGTCAATTCTCTTATTGTAGAAGCTCATGTAAGGAACGGCATATCTCATCAACAATAGTCCCATCTACTTTCGCTGCGTTACTTCCGTTTATTGATGCTTCATCAATATTAAATCGAACAAAGACAGTTGAAACATCTTCGTCGCCAAATGAACCAATTGATTTGACCAAATCGTATAAACGAGCAAGAGAATTAGTGGATGACCAACCAATTGATTATTCAGTCATTCACAAACGAAACGATTTCGATGCTCAACACAGTTCACACGTATTTGGTAATGAGAAACCAGAGAAAAAATTGAAGAAAGAAGAAGAAAATTATTACGAACAACAAATCAATGATGAGGATGGCGCTGATGATGATGATGATGATGACGATGATAACTCCATCTCATCAGAAAACAAAAAACTGAAAGGATTTAGTGATCATCGACCATTAACACCGGTATCATCATCATCAAGTCCTCAAACAATATCTTCATTGGAGAAAAAAGCATTTTTATCAACAAATGATGCCACCATCATTCGAAGTAGAGATCGATACTCCTGTTCCTATTGTGCCAAAACATTCCCACGTAGTGCCAATCTGACTCGACATCTTCGAACTCATACAGATAAGTATCTTTTCCTTTTTCTCACTTTCAATCAGTGAGGAAATGTCATTTCATTATGAACTGTTCACTCACACCAGCTGATATTGACACGACATAATGAACTGAATTTTTAATCCCACAGAGATTCTAATTGTTGTGTGTTTCTTTGTTTTACGAGAACAACCGTATGTGTGCAAGTTCTGCAATCGAAGTTTCTCGATTTCATCAAATCTTCAACGGCATATTCGAAATATTCATAAACGCGAACGACCATTTCGTTGTATGCATTGTGATAAATGTTTCGGTCAACAAACAAATCTCGATCGACATATGAAAAAACATTTGTCACAATCTTCACCATCATCATCATTGTTAGCTCAATACGAACGAAATGCAACAAGTTCATCATCAACACAAGTTCCATTTCTCTCCTCAATGTCATTAGCTTCGTTCAATCCGAATCCAAACGAGAATTTACCACAAAACTCCACCGATGACGACGAATCAAGTGAATTATCTGAAGAGGACGAAGATGACGAAGAAATTGACGTTGAAGAAGATGATGATGATCTCGAAACAAATTCATTATCAATCGAAGACGCAGATGATATCGGTCAACAACATGCAACGTCATCTTCAACGTGAAACATATCCCTCTGTTTCATCTAATCACATTCCATGACGATAATTCTCGAATGTTTTTGCTGTGATTTGCCATCGATACATTTCCTCCTGATATTGACAATCGTTCTTTTTCATTCTTTTTCATCTTCCGGTGTGTGCACGATTCGTCTTTATTCTTCTCTGCTTCAAAAACTCCTCATGATGGACATGAGTGTAAATGTGTGTGTGTGCATCGCGATACTCGTTGCTTTTTGTTTTCTTTTAGTTCGATTGATTGTTAACCTCAGGCCACTATTGACATGTTCGAGAATGATAAATCATAAGAATATGATCTGTATAGTTCCGACAGGAAGATATTGTTCATGATCTTTGTTTTCTTTTCTTTTCTTTTTTGTTTTTCTACTTCTCAAATTTTTCCTTTTTCTTTTTCATTTATTCTTACATTGAATATACATATAACGTTGCTTGTTTCTCTATGTCAATGTGTGTCTATTGACCATTGAAAAGGAAAGAAACGAGAGATATTTTGGTTCGAATGATTCAAACGATGGAAGGACAAACATCCCTGGATCGAATCCTGCCTAGAGATTAGACAAACGATGATGGTTCATATCTTTCGGGTCTGATTCACTCGATGAAAGACACTTTTCTAATTTCATGCTGAGTTTGTCTCTTCATACATTCAGTGCAAATCTATACCAAGATTTCTTATTTACATATTGAATGATGTCTTTTTAGACACGGTCGATAGCGAAGTTTGATTTTCGTATATCCGAAAATTTTAATGATGAAAGATATTCTTTTCGTTATTACATATAGGATAAGATTTTACTTGAAATAAGTGAAATATAATGAGATTTATTAACACCTTGGAATGAGGTAAGACAAGCGCATGAAATTAATGAGAATGGATACCTTGTGGTTGTTGATTTTTTAGCCTCGATTGTTATCTTTCTTTTTAATTAGGTATCTCAAATTAATTAACACGAGTTTTGGTTAGTTTAGAAGGAAACCGGGGCAAAAGTCTTTGAGCATCCCTGGAAGTAAATGCTTCTAATATTTGACACACGTTTCTGATGTTATTATTACAAACTAAATAAAAATAAAACAAACGAACCACATTTCTTCGTTGTTAAGTCAATAAAAACCGATACCGAGTATTAAAAAAGAAAGAATAAAACATGCAAAGAAACAGCTTTTCGCTAGGATGAAATAGGCTCAGATTTATCGTGTAAAATTCACAATTTCAATGTCGAACTGATGCATTGTTATATGTTGATAATAATTTCACCAGTTCATCTTGATTTGACAGTTGACTTTTGAATTTTGTCATCAATGTTAACAATTCTTTGATAACTACATCTTTTTCTTGTAATGCTTTGGTTTTTTCTTCGATTTTGATCTGCATATCCGAACAGTTGCCGCAATGTGATGTCTAAAATCGAAAATTCATGACTAACCATTGGAAAAGAACGTTGCTGCCTTCGTACCCCTTTTTTATTCTGGTATTGAAGTAATTTATGTCGGAGTACTTCGTACTCATCATGTGTTCGTTTTAATTGTTTCGTTAATTCTTCGATTTGTTGTTGTCGTTCCCTAATTCAACAACAAAGTTCGATTAAATCATGTAACTAGTCTTTTTTTTACCAAGAATTGTCTTTTAGTGATTCGCTGATTTGTTTTTTCAGAAAAGCGATCTTTTCATCTCGAGCTTTGAGCTCTTTCTGGTGATCGTCTCTCATTTGTTGCATTTGTCTTTCATACTAAAAAGAAATTTCATATTCAAAGTAATGAATTTCTCACAAATCATACGTATTCTTTCAATGCGTTCAGTTCAGCTGCGGAATCCTCAGCTGATTTCTGTAATTGTTGAATACGATCGATTTCCTTCTGTAAACGTATGTTTTCGACGGTTAAACGATTGTTTCCCACCCGAAATTCCTCCAATTGTTTCTCGTAGTTTGATTCCTAAGAGAGAAAATTCGGCGAACAAATGACTGGGATAAATATCGGAGTGGATTTACGCTTTTTTTTAGTTCGTCATTCTCTTTGGTCAAGTCTGCGATACGTTTCTCTTTGCTTTTCGACTGTTTTTGTATATCAACAATATCTTTTTCTAATTCTTCAATACGTCGTTTGAGACGGCGAATTTCCTCCTCGAGATTGATAATTTTGGCTTTCATTGTATCAGTTTCATCGGACTTGTTATTTCCGGTTGCTTTCGGCACAGGTTTTCGAGGAGCTGGAACGACAACTGAACGTCGCGGCACAGATTTAAGCGTTTCATCCGACGAACGACGTCGTTCCATCGACTTTGATAGTTCTTTCGGTGGTGGAACACGCATAAGATTGCCTTGAACTTCTAAATTCGACATATTCTATCTAAAAACATGTAAAAAACTTGAAAGTCGAAAGCAACTCTGTGATCTTCTATTTACATCGCCTAATTCAATTTTTTACTGAATACGATCAATCAATACCCAAGGTTGTTCAATAAACTTAATCATTTCTATATGAAATGGGCCTGTTTTTCTTCCGTTAGACAAATCGAGTTAGAAACACAACACTAAAAGCTAATTTTCACACTGTGACGATTAGTAATTCAACTAATTAAGACAAAGCAAATCTCCATGTGAACGCGGAGTAAAACTTGAAATTTTCATCTGTTTGAGTCGAAGAAAAAGAAAACAATAGTTATAACCATGAGAAATACTGTTTGCGACATCTGGAATATGTTCTTTCAAAGAATTTTCTATGGTAACATTGATCGATAATGGCAAGTGTGAATCATTGTTCATTTTTGGCCTTGGACTTGGACAGATGAATTCCAAACAGTCAATTCTCAACGAAATTGTCACCTGAAAATTGTTTCAAGGTCCCGAAACATTCCTCTTGAATAGGTCACTCGATTCTTTGTCTAAATATGCAGTCATTATTGAAAAATGATAAGTTTATTGAAAAACACCGTTAAAAACTAATGGAAATTACTTCAGTTTTTTTTCTTCGCTAATCGGAAAGAACTAAATTTCTGACAAAAGAAACGGAAACGGAAATTATTGGCTAGCGTGCGAACGAAAGTACATTGAAAACAATTAAACCATCTTCAAGTATTCTTCTTCTTCTAATGTCTCTTAGTCTGGGAATTGCCAAGGTTTAAAAAAACGAATCAATGAGTGATAATTTTTTTGTCTTTGACCTACTCAATCTAATCCAACGTCGTTCTATTCGCTAGACAAACAGAACATTTCAAATCTATTTATTATCTAAATGTCAACGATTTGTCTCGAAAATGATTTGTTAATATGTTAAAATAAACATAACAACTAATGTTTGAGTCCTTGATTTTCTTCTAGTCATTAGGAGAGACAACAACGAACCTAAGGTCAGAGATATCTTTTCGTCAAAAGGCAAAGAGTGCAAAATATTTTCACAAATAAAGAGTTCGTGTATAGAAAATATCTTTTTCTATCGTTTCCTTTTTTTTTTGATGATTATCCAAACAAACACACATGCATATAGGCAAACCAGAGAGAAAGAGAGAGAGAGAATGACAAATTGATGAAAAAAAAAGAAAACCTCTAACGTTTTTTTCGTTTTATTCGTTGTCGACGTTGACGGAGGATTTCAGTGACTTCATCAACTGTCGGACGAGTTTTCGAAAGGGAAGTCCGACGAATACTTTCGATTTGTTCTAAAACCGATTCCGCCGGAGATAAACCTTCATTTGACGAACGTCGACGAGTAGGTGTGGGTGGTACGAGTAATTTCGGTGCATTTCGTAGAGGGTCATCGGTTGTTGTTTCTAAACTAGGAAGAAGCATACCACTATTGGAAGTAGTTACCATTGAAGCCATTCCACCACCTAATGCACCAGCCATTTTTGGATCGGACATAACGGGTAGAAAAAGTAATTTGCCTAAACTTAATAAACCCTGATCAGGACCAAGTGTTGACATCATCTTGGCGAGTCCATCAAGAACGACAGGTTGAGACGCTTTTCTTTCGTATGAGTAGAACAATTCTTCGATGACATGTGTCACAACAAAATCTGATGTATTAGTTTCCAATAAACGAAGAACGAATATACCATCACATTTTAAATAATTACGCGCGAAATCTAAATGTGAATCATCACGATATAATAACGAATCTTCCGGTAAAGATTGCGTCGTTTGTTGGTCGGGAGTAGAGTCATCTGTATTCGTTACAGACTTGCGAACATGTCTTATCAGAATTAATTTTAAGCGAGTTGTGACATACTTTATCCGCACAGATCGGATAAATGAATATGACCAGGTTAATAATGAAATAATATTCAAAATAACTATCATTGTATACCAGAAAAATAAAAATGTAAATAATTGTTCAAAAAGAAGGTTATTTGGCAGGACACATTCGACAGTATATCGATGTGAATTATATAAATGATTAGGTTCACGTACTCTAAACAGACAGGAGTGAGAGAAGTATTCATTCGATTGAAACAAAGATTCGACTTACTCAAAATCGCATAGAGTTACTTTTGGAAAATATTTCGAAAGACCTCCTTGCTGTTTATACGATTGCTGAAACGATTGATTTTGGATAAGTAAAATTAACTTCTGTAACAATTCCAAACCATAACGATAATATTTGATCCCAAGCATTTCATTAAATAACGCTAATTGTCCAACTGAATTGATAACATAGAGAATCTTTGTGAGGAGATAAACCATCATAAAGTAATTGCCTTGAAATTTACCATACATACAACAAAATACTGCTTGAATACGTTTGAGTATACTAATGTTTCGATTTTCTCTTCCACGGCGAGGATCATCGATGAATTCATCAATGGAAGCGATAATATAGTTCATGATCTTCCGTCGTTTATCCATTCGATCAATAGACTTATAACTTTTGCCAGCTTCGATGATATCTTTCAAATCCAAACCACTTCGAGTCATTAGAGATTGCCAGATGAGATTTGGAATGTAGAAAAGTATACTAAACAAATCTTTCGTAGATATTTCGCAATCAAACTTGAGCTTACCTTAGAAAGCAAAGTATAAACGGGATCCATTGATAATAAAGCAATTGTAAACTTTGTCGTTCAGCTCGTCCACCTGGGATCTTTTGTGTTTGATTAACATAGTAGGTATTCGTGATATAACAAATATGATTGGTATAATCTTCATAACCAGATGTAAACATAGCTGGTACCCAGCCTAGACGAGAAAAGAAAGTTAGATTTGAAAATAGAATGTAAGTTGGCTAAGTATTACATTGGATCTGTTTGGAACTGAATTGTCGATTGGTGACGATAGCGGAGAAAACATTGAGTAGAATAACTGTGTAACGATAGTTTAATCGATCGACAAAATCATCTGGATCAGCTTGAGGCGCTTGATTTTGACCGGCAAGACTCGGAATGCCTTTCAATAAGAGAAACGCCATACGTCAACGTAATCGAACGATTGAACGTCATGATTCCNGCTAAGTATTACATTGGATCTGTTTGGAACTGAATTGTCGATTGGTGACGATAGCGGAGAAAACATTGAGTAGAATAACTGTGTAACGATAGTTTAATCGATCGACAAAATCATCTGGATCAGCTTGAGGCGCTTGATTTTGACCGGCAAGACTCGGAATGCCTTTCAATAAGAGAAACGCCATACGTCAACGTAATCGAACGATTGAACGTCATGATTCCGTTAGCACGTTAAAACGTGTTTTCGCTCGTGCTGAACATAAACCACTTTTATCAATTCGTTTTGTTCATAAATCTAGAAGAACAGAATATGTAAATCATCATAATGCAATCAGAATATTGATCGGCTACTTGAAACGAGAGAGGAAGAGGGAGAAAGTGAGAAGAAGGAGAAAGAACATAAATGTCTGTGTATACATCGATATTAGAATGATAATCATCGTACAACTGATGCTGTTGTTCGCATCAGCGAGATCTGCAACTGTAAGACTGGTCGACGAGTCGTTTTTTTCATTTATCACAAACAAACGCATAACTGCGTTTCTATAATTGTCGACAATCGTTTGATGACAATTACAATAGAGGAAAAAAAAGAATTAGATTTTTTGTATGTATATTTAGAGAAGAGATAGACGAAGAGAGGAGAAAAATGCAAAATCGAAAGCCTACTAGAATCAGTGGTAACAGCTTGTCTTAGAAAAGAAAGGGAAACGACAGAGAGGGAGAGACGAGAAAATGATGACGATATCATTCTCCTTTCTAAATAGATGTAACTCGATGCAATATGCTTCTGATCTTTCATCACTTTAATATATATGTCTACATACATCGATGTATGCGTAGATAGACAGTCAAGGGATTTTTCTAATATCTGATCATTAGTGACTGGATGTCTGTATGTTTGTGGTGAAGCAACGTGTCGATTAGGACGATTTTACTCACCCGAATATGCGTCGACTGACATGCATATCCACATAAGCACGTTTACTTTCTCCTAGTGCAAACTGATATTAAGATGTTGATGACATTTCTCACGGGATACAAATGAATGCGGTTTCTTTGTTCAGCAAGCAACTGTTGATTAGAAGAATTTCATCTCTCAATCGATATTCTTTCTCACAAGAACGTTCACGTTTTGTTCCTTTGCGGAAAAATCTTCTACAAAATAATCAATCTAAATGATTTGTGCATTTACATTTCCTTACTCAATGACACTATTCTTGTCCGATGTATTTGTTAGTATGCCTTATTTCTCTCGCTATCAGTATCTCATATTCTGGCGATAATGTTCGTGTTGTTGTTATTTTATAGTGTA